TCTGGCGTCGGCGTCGCTTGGCATCCTTATAGAAATATCGTACTAAGAATCATTGATAATTACTTATTATTCAGTATTTTTAATATTAAAAATAAGTAATTATCAATGATTCTTAGTATATTTCTATAAAGACACCTCTTCTTCAGTGTCTTGTATAAATTCACCTGGGGGTCGCCGACGATGAGGGCGGCTTGGACGATAGTTCGGTTCATTTTTATCTATTTTTCGACTCATTTTTTGCAAATATAATGCACAACAACAACGTAAAACTACTGCACGGTAAGAAAAATAGTGTATGAAGAGCACGCTGCCTCTCAACTGTTGGCTCGGACACGTTACTTTTTCAAAAACAGTTGTTACACGAGCACAAATTATTACTTTTCCTCGTCAGTTGTGCCATCTAGTGTCCAAATAGCAAGTCTGTGGTGTCAAGGGACCGAAAAGTAAAGAGTTCACGCGCGCGGTCGTATACCTGCGCTCGATACCGTTTGGAGCGCGTCACTTAGGGCTATCGCACACAAATTGACATAACTGCATATGCATAGCATAAGATCGTATGAACCAATGAGCATCGAATATTAAGCATCGAACACCAATATGGCGACTTAATACTCGATGCTCATTGGTACATACGGTCTTATGCTATGCATATGCAGTTATGTCAATTTGTGTGCGATAGCCCTTATATACACTATAGGGACATTTAGCTACAAATTTCGATTTCAAACTTTAGGAGCTTATTCTCCAGATGCTATTATCGATTTTTTCCTCACAAAAATCGATTTTATTTAATCGATTCTTTTTTACGCGATTTTGGCGTGTATCGATTATTTTAGTAGGAAATTGATTCTCGATTTTTAGTGGGTTAGGGATGCGCATATATATAATATTACTATATGGCTACATAGAAATTTTCCTATAAGTGAGAATGAGACCACATAGAAGGATAAAAGATGGACGGTTATTGGCTCAATAGAAAAGAGTGGGAAAAGTGTTCAATAATCGCAATGCAAATGTTAAGGTCGTTCTACTTTAATTGCAAACCGATCGCAAGTAGACGCAATTCTTATTGCGACAGCCAATCAGAAGCATCAATGGTGCTATTGACGCTTCTAATTGGCTGTCACAACAAGAGTTGCATTCGACAACTAATGTAGAACGACCTTTAAGCTAGTGGCACATAGAAAAACATAAGGACCGTGGCACACAGAAAAACTTAAGCAGTAAGACGTAAGCAGTAAGCAAATTGACCAATCATAGTTGTTGATTCATCTTACGGTCCAAGAATCAACGACTGTGATTGGCTGATTCGCTTACTGCTTAAGTTTTTCTATATGCCACCAGCTTAAGCAGTAAGGATGGAGTCCCATGGCACGTATTTACGCGTAACGCGTAACCAATCACATATTTCTATTCTTTTAGAAGTTCCAACAGAAATACTAAACATCGCAATTTATTGGTTACGCGGTACGCGGAAAATACATGTCAAGAGACTTCAGCCTAAGCGTAAGCAGTAAGCAAATTGACCAATCACAGTCATTGATTCTTCTTACGGTCCAAGAATCAACGACTGTGATTGGCTGATTCGCTTACTGCTTAAGTTTTTCTATATGCCACCAGCTTAAGCAGTAAGGATGGAGTCCCATGGCACGTATTTACGCGTAACGCGTAACCAATCACATATTTCTATTCTTTTAGAAGTTCCAACAGAAATACTAAACATCGCAATTTATTGGTTACGCGGTACGCGGAAAATACATGTCAAGAGACTTCAGCCTAAGCGTAAGCAGTAAGCAAATTAACAAATCACAGTCGTTGATTCTTGGACCGTAAGAAGAATCAATGACTGTGATTGGTCAATTTGCTTACTGCTTACGTCTTACTGCTTAAGTTTTCTATGTGCCACCAGCTTAATGGCTTCTGCACACAGAATGCGGTAATGCTTGCCGCGCGGCGGAAGTCCGCGCGACAGCCAATCAATATGTTGTTTTTCCTTAAAAGCTAGAAGGTTATTACGGAAAGCAGCATATAGATTGGCTGTCGCGTGAACTTCCGCCGTACGGCAAGCATTACCGTGTCCTGTGTGCAGGAACCATTAAGTGTTCACCAACACACACTGGTGCACCCAGTGGCTTGGTTTACATCGTGCACTTGATACGCGTGTTAAATAGTAATTTTCTATTAGATAATCTTAATATCGACGATGTATATAAATAACGGTATATTAAGCTGGTATAATACTGATCAAGAAGACTTATTGTATCGATTGAATGCGTCATCGTTGATATGCATTGTCAATATTAAGATTATTTAATAGAAAGTTACTATATAGCACGCGTATCAAGTGCACGATGTAAACCAAGCTAGTGTCAAATTCGCCATAAATTCTCTGGTTCATGGACATTCATGGATCCAAGATGTCGATATAATCGTTCATGCATACGCTGTTAGGTTCGGCTCGGTTAAATCTGTGCTCATAAGTAATACGAGTGCTGTTAATTATCATCTAATTACGCGTAGTGCTAATTGTAAAAGACAGGAAATAATAAAGTCTAAAACAATATGGTAAGTCGCATATATCGTATGTGTGATATGCAAACCGTCAAAGATGAAAGAAATGTCATCGATAATTGTCGTCGCTTGCAGATGCAATTTATGTTACTGTTCAGCCGTCAAGGAAAGCTTCGCTTACAAAAATGGTATGTCGCACATCCGGATAAATTAAAGAAAAAAATTACACGTGAATTAATAACCACAATACTCGCACGTAAGCCCAAAATGTCGAGTTTCTTAGAATGGAAGGATGTCAAAGTTGTCTACAAGAGGTATGTCATTGACAAGCAATAATCCCTATGTTATCTTGTCATGCAATATAGCTGTAAAAAGTCTTCTCAGGTTCACTCATAAAATTCTGTATTTGTACTTTCAGATATGCAAGTTTATATTTTTGTTGTGCAATTGAGCAAAATGACAATGAATTGCTTACTTTAGAAATTATACATCGATATGTTGAATTGCTGGATAAGTATTTCGGCAGTGTAAGTATAATTTGAAATTGTAAGTTCAGAAATGTTTTTAGCAATTTTAACTGATTTTAATGATATTGATATTATTAGGTATGTGAGTTGGATATAATTTTCAATTTTGAGAAGGCATACTTTATATTAGATGAATTACTTGTTGGTGGTGAAATTCAAGAAACTAGCAAGAAGAATGTTTTGAAAGCCATTGCTGCTCAGGACTTGTTACAGGAGGTTAGTTACGGGGATGTACCCCTTGAATTGTAACATGTTTATCTTATTAGCACAATATTTGGAGATATGTTTTAGATTCTTTTTACAGCCAGATTCTTAGATCGTTTTATTTATCTACTAAATAATATAATTCACTAAGGCTCCATTTAGCAAACTGATATACATATAGTACAAATGAGAATTTTATGCCCACAAATGCATAATATCTAATCAATATTTATCAATGCATTAAAACGATCTACAATCTATTGCTAATTCTTGATATTCATGCATTGTTTTTATTAAATAATCATGATGTTGCAAGATTCAAGCATTTATAAAATCTATTTGAGCTAGGTGAGAAATTGATTGTCAAATTTTTTCACTTAAATATATGATATTTCGAATTTAACTTTTTTTTTGCAATATTAGCTGCATATAATTTTTTTATATTTATGAAAATAAGCAGGAGTAAGATATCAGAAACCTACAGTATTAAAAAGTACAGTATCAGAAACCTACAGCTAAAAAAGAATACGCTGAATTTTTATCTAGATATTTATTTAACACCTAGTAACAATAGATTTGTAAAGAAGTATAAATATTTATGTGATCTGCATGCGAAGGCATTTAAAGATATTAATAATTGCCTGTATAAAATAATTTAAGTTTCCTACTTACTTTCATGTCGCCTGTCTTGCATAGTAATCATAATTATGTATATATATCATGTATCTATCTATAGTACTCTATCTGTAGTTACATCAGCTTCTATTGAGAAATTTTATTTTTTACTGATATTTAATGTTGCACGATATGACTGAACAACATTTGACTTTGTATATGTGTGTATATGTGTGTATGCGCGCGTGCACGCATGTGTGTATACGTGCGTGCGTACGCGTGCGCGTGTGCGCGCGTGTATATATATATATATACACATTAAGGATTTTATCTATATATAAAATATTGACTGCAGCAAATATTGATTCAGCACTACGTTCATAAATAATTTTACGCGCTATTTTATATACTCAATATAAAGGAAAAGATATTTTTTTTATATTTTACTTATTTTCTATATCAGTTATGTCCACAAACATTATTATAAATTGGAAGAATATTTTCAAAATCAAGAAAATCAATTTATATAAATCTCTCTGTTCTTTCTTACTTTGTCGAGTACTTCTCTTCAAAATATAGCACACAATTATTCTAAACCCATTTTTTGTTAAGCATGAGGAACATACTATCTGTAATGTGTAATGTCAATGTTCACAATGGAAAATTGTAAAATAAGCTTAAATGCTGAATGTTTCTATGGACGATCGTGCGTGCATATACGCTTCTCATTTAATCTCCAAGCGTGCTTGTATAGTACGTTTTCACTGTTAACGTCTTTACTCCTCGCAACACTAAATATCTGTGTAACAGCATCTGTCAACTGTTTGATAGTATTGCGTGATTTATACGTAACGAAAGAAATAATATTTTTTGAGGTTTATATTTATACATTGACTACAATAAACATAAAAATTGTGTTGATCCTATAAATTTCCGAGTTATCGCGCACAACTATGCAGGCGCGCGCACGCATATACTAGTCGTAATTTAAATACGAAAAAAATACGCACATCGCTGTTACTTGTCGAAAGGCGTTCTCGCAAGAAATGTGTGAAATTTGAAATATTTTACGTAATATACATGCAATACATGGTTTACGATTAATTTTATTTGCTTGATAATGAGATGAGTGAACTTTTTTCTGTAAATATACAGAATATCTAACATAACGCATATGTCCGTTCGTGTTCAGGTAGAACCGAGATATCAAACTGAGAGAAAAATATATCATTATGCAAACAACTATGATAATTAACTTAGACTGTCGGGAAAGCCATTTTTGTGGCTTTGCACAAATCTCAAAATTCTGCGCCATGTATATGTTACTTATGTAGGAAAATTTTTAAGAAAAAAAACTTTTAATGAAAAATATCAGCAGCACTAAAGAGTAAGGAGATATTAATTAAAGATAATTTGCGAATCAGTGCATGTTATATGATGAGACGAGCTCTTTAAGCAAAATCTCGTCCAAGATATTTGAATTTGACAATCTCTCAGCAGTGCCAGTAATACTGGACATCTTCACTGTCCAGCAATACATATCAGTCGTTGCCAAGAGATTTTCAGTAAATTCAGAAACTTCAGTGAACTTTTTTCTGCAAATATATAAAATATCTGACGCAACGCATATGTCCGCTCGTATTCAGGTATAACTGAATAGTTCACTGAAGTTTTTGAATGAAACTTTACCACAATGACACGTGCTCATTCGTTCTAATTTTCCTTAATTAATACTTCACTAGTTGTCGTGATTGTTTGCAAAATGGTACACTTTTCCATTCAGTTTGACAAGTTCTACTTGCACATGAACAACGTATGCGTTGCGTCAAACATCTTATACGATATAATACGATGCTTGCCTTTGTATATTACGTTTGCTCAGACAATAATTGATTTAAAGCCTCTTACACATAAATTTTGTATAGGATAAAGTATTTTGAAATAACATAGAGCAAAATTTATTCGTTAATTTGAACTGAATTAATGGAACAATTGATAGTGAAGTAAATGAATAAATAATTTTCAATAAGCACAAACATTTGTAAGTAAATTATAGCACTAGTATGTGAAAAAGAAACATATTTTGTACTTTATCTGACATTTGAAGACATTTGATTTTATACACTGTAATCATTGTATACTATACTAAAATAAGGATACGTTGTGTTCTCAAGATTACCTATAATATGCCATTTAAATAACTTAGTAGAGATAATACGGAAAGAGAGAATATATACATACATCTTATTATTCTAGTCTACTGTCAGATTTTTTGTTGAAACTGACGTTTTATTAATATCTGAAGAATTTGCCAAGAATTGCTAAACTTATCCTGTTTTTGCATTTAAATTGTATTGTTTAGTATATTACATTTTTATTCATTTACGAGCTGTAGTGAAAAAATATTATTCTCTTCAAAATTTGTATTAAGCTTAAGCTTTTATTGGCTTT